ACGCCAACGCCTCGGCCAAACAATAATAGCCAACAGCTCTTGCGGCACGCGGGAGCTGAAGACGCCTCTATTGCACGTCCGCATCTCTAGGTCCCGTCAAGTCGTCTTGGCCTTTGTAGCTGCAATTTCTGGGCGTCTCCGCCTCGGGCTTCTTGTCCGACCAGCTCGACAAAGGCCATCCAACAGTCTTCAATGTAGGCCGCCACAAAACCACCACCTCATCATCCCTCTCCCATCAGCCGTCCGCCATCCGGCGCCCGCCATCTGTCTGTCATCCGCCTTCCTTTGTTCGACTGCCGTGGTCGTCCTCTGCCCTCTGCCCAGCGCTGAGCACCACGGCACCACCATGTCCGCTGACGTCTCGGTTTAAGCACCCCCTCTTCCGCCCTCTTGCCATTTATGCTTTGCGCTGGCTTCGTCTGAAATCTGTGCGCCGCACCCCTTTGTTCCCTTGGGACCCGTCCTGCGCCTAGTATCGTGAAGCACGACTGGGCCGACCCGCGACGCCCAACCCGAGCATTCCCCGCGAAACAAAGGCGAGCTTCACCCAGTGTCCCTCTCGTCCACGCCACCACAACGACAAACACCTTCACACCGCACCTCACCGTCATGGTCATGGTCTAATCAAACCATGACCTCGCTGCTCAACAAGACGGATTCCGGTCCTCCGCCGCCTCGCCAGATCCGCTTCGTTAACAATCAAGGCCAACCGCCGTCCAAGCGGCGCAGAATCAACGCCGCGTGAGTCCATCGTCCTCTTTGTCTCAGCCTCTGCGACTCTGCATTGCGTCGCCAGCCTCCCCCCAATGCTGCCTGCCATGTCCTTTCCAACTACCCCTCGTGCGCCTCGCCATTCCTCAAAACACAGGATGCCCTGAATATTGTTCGAGTCCAAACCAAATGGTCCCATCCTCTAACTAGTACTGCAGTTGCTTGACCTGCCGACGACGGAAGACGAGATGCGCCGGTGAGCGACCGGTCTGTTCGACATGCACCAAAAATGGACATCAGTGTCAGGGATATCCAGAAGATAGCCGAAAAGATGTTCCTGTAGAATCGCTTGAAGCTAAGCTTGCTGCTGACGACGATGACATCCCATTGGATGACATTCCAACCGAGGACGACAGCAAGAAAACGGTGCACGAGAAATCCGATGCTATACCCACACCGCCAACCACCAACAGTGTCGTCATCGTCAACGGCCATGAAACCAAGAAACATGGCTCCTTATCCCCATATCGCAAACCTCTCGTCGCCCGCACTGAACTAGACACCCTTAAGCCTCCCATCTCTCCGACACAACACGCATCACACCCTTCAGCCAATTCCGACGACACCCCAGGCTCACCGACTTTGCGCCGCAATTACAACCATCGAGTGCCATATTTTCGATATTTCGGTCCCACTGCGATTGTGCCTGGATTCAAACAAATGGTCGTATCTGTCCGAGACAGGCGCAGGTCTACAGGAGGATCACAGTCCGCAGCCTCGCCATTGTCAAATCCGAGTGGCCTCCGTGGAAGCAGTATTGCCGTGGGTAGTGATGTTGCCGTGGAGGACATGCCGGTTTATGACCCCAGTAGTCACCTGCCCGTCCACCCAGTCATCCTGTCTCTGGTCGATACCTTCTTCTTGCACCTGGGCTGCAATTATCCCTTCCTGAAGAAACCCAAGTTTGTACAAATGGTCAAGGAGAAGCGAGTTGAGCCCATACTCGTTGATGCCATATGCGCCATTGGGGCCAGGTTTTGCGACATTTCTCAATTCACTAGCGGGAACGACAAGATGCCTAGGACGGAGAGGGGCCAGGTTTTCGCACAACGAGCCAAACATGCCACTGTAGAAACGTTTCCCTGTCCCTCAGTCGGAGCCGTCCAGGCATTGCTTCTCATGGCTTACGAGGGCTTCGGCGCCAACCAAGACAGCGCGTTATGGATGTATCTCGGCCTTGCCATTCGGATGGCGGTGGATTTAGGCTTGCAGAAGAGGGTCGGCATCCAATATCAAGGCGAGAAAGATCCATGGTACACAAGACACAGAAGCCGGGGAAATGGAGATTCTGAGAGTCCAGAGGATAGGAAGACGAGTGACTCTGATGCCCTAAGCCTTGACGAGCAAAAGGAAGTGGAACAAGAGCGCATCGACACGTTTTGGGCCGTCTTCTTCCTGGACAGAGTCATATCCTCGGGTACGGGTCGTCCAGTCACATTTCGGGACGACGACTTCGAGCTGCCCTTTCCAGCCGCGAGGGTCGACCCTGAAACCGGGTGGCCGGTGCTCTTTCCAGTGCTTTTGGAAATCATCCACTTGTACGGGCGAGTGTCCGACATTCTAAATAACATCCGCGATGTCCGCGATCTCACCGAGGACAAATGGCGCAAACTTGCTACAATGGAACACGAGGTTACCAAGATGTACAAAAATTGGGATGCCCGGCTGCAGTTCAATGTCAGCAACTTCAAAGCATATTTAAACCTTAGGCAAGGGACGACCTTTATACTTTTGCATTTTTGGTTTCACGCCCTGTTTATTGTCCTTCACCAGCCCACACTGTTGACACCTTTTGGGGGACTGTGGACTGAGCACCAACTCCTTCCAGACAGTCGCGAGCTGAGCATGAGCAGTGCGAAAACAATTTGCGACATATTGTCATTTGCCGATCTCATAGACCCAATAAGCTTCATTGGCAACCCGTTCACCAGCCAGCCAATTTACATTGCTGCATGCGCCTTTCTCATGGAATCAAGTGCCAATGCGTCTGAAGGCTCGTCAAGAGAAAGCTCCCCCCCAGCGGTGACGAAGCGTCCAGCCACGCAGACAAAGACGTCAAACTCTAAGCACTCCAGGCACTCGCTTCTTGCTTCTGCAGCAAACCAGAATTATCAGCGCTGCTATAACTCGTTGCAACAGATGCATGCATATTGGGGAGGCGTTAAATACATTCTCACGGCCCTGGACCAGAAGGCCAAGGGTATCTGGGATTGCGAGACATATACCTCTGAAGAGTACGAAAGCACAAAGATGCCACCTCTTCAGCCTGGAGTTGCTGGTGATTTTGGCCATTTGACCCAGACTTCTCCGAAAGTTGGCGGGCCACCCATTGCTTGGAGCTTGGCTGGCACGGCGAACTCACCTAACTCGAATCTGACTTTGATGTACCAAAACTCAAATGGTCATCCCGTGAGTAATGCTCCTCATCAACACGCTCGGAGCGTTCAACAACGTCAAGCAAGCACGCCTCCAGGAAATATGCTTTACGACCCTATCAGACAAAGTATGCCTGCGGAACCAGGTAGCATGTATCCGCCAGCGGTTCCACCATCAAATCTAGCTGGGCCGACTACTTCGCCTCGCTGGACTCGGGCTAGAAGGCCGTCTACTCTATCCAATGCAGCCGGCCAGAGCCATGTTGCAGGGGCCAGCGACGGTTTCTCCGATCCTGGGGCCGAAGGATCAAAAGTTTACATGCCCTCCGGGTTTACCCCCGTCAGCCAACATTCTGCCAGCTATGAAGGATATACTGCGTCGCCAACGAGCAATTTGGCAGACGGTAACTCCCAAGGCCGCGGCGGGGGCACGGCCAACAATAGTGTTTATTACGCACAGGGCATGCCATATCAATCATCCTGGACATTCGGAAATGGAAGCATGGATGGCATCACATTCGACAGCCAGGATATTGATATTGGTGCTTTGGGCTTACAACAACCAGATCTCATGAGTGGATGGCTCGAGTATATTCCGAGTGATGGTGATGTCCTCGGCCTATTCGAGAACCATGACATTAACAATGGGCAAGGAAATCAGACTGGTCAATAACCAGCAACCCGAGTCGTTTTCCCATACCCAGTTGGCTATGAAGAATTGCGAAAATTGTCGTTTGTTTTTAAAGATGTATTGGATGAAGCCTGATTATACTTTGAATGGGGTATAGAAACGGCACCTCGGTCAGTTTGGCGTGGCGTTTACAGCGTGGGGGCATTGGGATTTTTGCTTTCTTGATTGTATCACATTGGACTATATATAGTATTTTATGACTTGGGGACTGGCATGGGACAACAGCAACAAAAAGTGAGGAATTGCGCTGGGGACTTTTGCGACTTGTGACTTGGGCTTGGGACACGAAATACTGTACGGATACGGGCTTTTGGTTGGTTTGTCTTGTATAATGAAGGACAAGTGGAATGTTTGGGCGTAGTAATTATTGCATCACGGCAGCATTAGCGTGCTTCAGCATGCAACATCGCACACAGCATACGGTACATGTGTCAAGGTTCATTACGACGCATTCAGCTTGAAGAAGATCTTTTTTTTGATACAAAAACTTGTTGGGCTCGGCTATCTAGAATAAAATATATTTGGAGCCATTTTCTGGCTCAGCGCCGAATCTTGTTTTGCAGATATCTAACTCAACTAAACCAAGTGACATATGCGTCCGTAAACTCCTAAACTTTGTTTCGATTGCGTCTCGTATAGTCTTTTTCCACATGTATATGTTTGTATCCAGTCGTCACGGGCGTTACTTGTGCTTGGCCATCTGGATGCCAATCTGCCTCGCATGCTGAGCCATGACGGCGTCAGTAATAGCCAAGGTCGCCATGCCCTCTATAATAGGCACCGCACGGGGCACCACACAGGGGTCGTGGTGGCCCTTTACCGACAAGACCCCCTCGCCCGTGGCGTCATATAAGGCCGTGGTTTAGTCTTGGCTGATGGTCGCGGGGGGGTTACAGGCAACGCGGAAGAAGATGGGCATGCCGTTAAAGATGCCGCCTGAGTTGTTGGTCTTGGTGTGCAGGCGAGACCTGGGGATGCCCGTCTTGTGGGCGGCGGCGTCGAGGGCGGGAGCGGGGATAAAGGGGTCGCTGTGCCTGCTACCGCTTATTTCGGCCCGGGGCCGATCTCGAAGCCCTTGACAGCGGGGATAGAGAGCATAGCGTGGCCGATGAGGGCCTCGAGCTTGTTAAAGGCCGGCTCGCCGAGGCCGGAGGGGGCGTACGTTACCGTGCCGCCGGTGCTGTCGTTTTGGTCGCGCAGGCCGGCGACGCGGACCTCCATGCGCTTCGAGGCTTCGGCGTCAGGAACTCGTCGACCTTGTCGTGGGTAATTGTGTCGGCTAGGCTGAGGAACGTGGGGTCGGCGCTCATGGCGTCCGTATCGCCGAAGAGCTTGATATTGCCAACCGACGTGACAAAGGCGACAATTTCCACGCCGTACATGTCCCTCAACCACTTCTCTGCTACGGCGCTGGCGGCCACGCGGGAGATGGTCTCGCGCGCACTGCTTTAGCCGCCGCCGGAGCTGGCCTTAACGCCGTGCTTCTCGATGTAGGTCCAGTCGGCGTGGCTGGGGCGCGGGTAGAGGTCAATGGTCTTGTTTCCATAGTCCTTGGGTCGCTGGTCTTCGTTAAGGACCATCAGAAGGATCAAGGTGCCGAGCGGCCAAATTCTGTGCCGGAGTGGATGGTGACTCTGTCCTTTCCATTACGCGGCGTGGTGATGGCCGATTGGCCTGGTCGCCGGCGGTTTAGCTGAGGCTGGATGTCGTCTTCGACGAGGGCAAGGCCCGGTGGGCAGTTGTCGACGATGCAAGAGACGGATTTGCCGTGGGACTCGCCAGCGCTGGAGATGTCGGTGTCAGATGCGGTGGATTGGCGGGACGGGGGGAGGAGAAGGGGCGGATGGAATGTGCTTACGTTGTAACCGGAAGTAGTGTCCGAAGGTGGACATGCTGGGCGATTGATGCTGTTGAGGTTTGTCTCGTGGGATGGTGAGGAGAATTGGAGGAAGAAAAAGCGGACATCTGGATGTTTTTTGACTGCTCTGGGCCGATTTCGGTGGTGACAACTGGCGAAATTCGGGATTTGGCGGGGGAGGGGCAGGACGAAGAGCGACTGGTCAATGAATCTGGTGCCGTGCCGTTGGAACGGATAATAGAGCTGGCGAAGCAATTGCAATTGACTTTCAAGCTTGGAAAACAATGTGGTAATTAGATCACATCAAGGGTAAAAAATGTTTCGCAACATACCAGAGGCCTCGTAAATTGAATTTCACGACGGAGTCCCCACGGACATGACGCAGCATCCTCATACCAGGGTAAAGATTTATCCATTAAGTGTGGGTCCAGGAGGTACGTATGTACACCCAGAGCCAAAAAAGCTCGTGTAGACTCCTTCACTGAGCTCCAAATTGTCGATCTGATCCCTCACGCTCTTTGTAAAACAAGTCAGCCTGCAGGCCTCAATTCAGTCTGGTCCGGGACGATACACCGTTCAACTGCCTTGATCCCCTTTCCAGGCAGGCATATCCTGTCTGGTGAACAGCTTGCGGTTGGTGGCTCAAGTCTCGTAATATCTCCTTGACGCGGAACAACATCTCATCGCCTCAATGCGCTTCTTCGCTGAGCACTTCGTCCTCGCAACATCATTGGTGGCATGTCTCGCTGGGGCCCTTCGATGAGGCGGTTCACCTCGGCCCTCAAGACAACATGTCATCAGACACGCCTCTTCTCTGTCGAGGCTGCCGCTCACCACGCCAACAAGACACAAGTCTACATATCCAGGTCCAATGATCCTCTCTTGAACCTCTCCGTCGAGCATAGACTGCTGCAAACAACTCCGCCAGAGTCGACTATTTTATTGCTCTACGTTAACTCGCCATGCGTCGTCTTTGGCCGGAACCAGAATCCGTGGCTGGAGGTCAATCTATCGCGACTTGCGCAAATTGTGAACCGCCCAGACGAAATCGGATGGAAAGACTCTGCGGTCAAGCTTGTTAGAAGGCGCTCTGGTGGTGGAACAGTGTTTCACGACCTTGGCAATGTCAACTTCAGCGTCATTTGCCCTCCGCAGGCGTTTGATCGAGATAAACATGCGGAAATGATAGTTCGGGCGCTTAAGTCACTGGGACGACCAACTACGAGCGTTAACAAACGGCACGACATCGTCATGGACGTACAATTAGATGGCAAGCCGGCTCACAGCACATTCAAAATCTCCGGCTCTGCGTACAAGCTGACGCGTTTGCGATCCTTGCACCACGGTACATGTCTTCTTCGCAGTCCCAATCTGTCAAATATCTCGGGGATGCTTCGGTCGCCGGCAGAGCCCTTTGTGAAAGCCAGGGGTGTTGATAGTGTGCGGAGTCCGGTGAGGAATGTGGACTTGGATGTCGAGGTGTTCAAGGACGCGGTTGTCGGAGAGTTTGCCAAAATGTATGGTGACTTTGACGTGCAGACAGAATTCGACAGTCGCGCATCTCAGGATCAAAGGATAGCCAGTGGGTACGAAGAACTGCGATCCAAGGATTGGATATATGGACAAACCCCGCGGTTCACATTTTGCACTCATCCGTTTGAGGAGGATCCTCGCCATCGGCCTGAACTATCATTTGATGTAAGCAGGACAGACACATCTCAGAGCAACTTCTCCAGCTGACACCAGGGTAGCATAAACTTCACTTTGAAGCAAGACATGGCATTATTGAACGATTTAGCATTGGCGGGCAGCAAAACTTTAGCGAACAGCAGCTTATCAATCGTTCTCTTCATGACATATCCAACTGGGACACGCAGCTTTTTCAGGCTGGCCTGGGAAGGAAAGATGCCTACGACGTTGGAAGCTGGATGAACCGAATTCTTGGCACCGAATTTACACAAATCTCGTCGCCTGCTGCCATCTAATACAATCAGCAACCGTTGCTGTCATGCCGGATATTCAATAGAGTCCTTGAATCATAGAGCGTGTAGGATAGGTACATCATTTTCTTTGCGACATAGCACCGCGCACAACATACGGTCAGCCATCCTCGTAAATGGCCTAGGAATATGGTCTCCCCTGGCTACGCAGCGCATGAACAGGTGCGAAATACTGCGTGGCGTTTAACTGCGACAGTCGATCGGGTAGTCCCCTTTATTTGCTGGTTATAACGACCAAAGCCTTTTGGGACGTAGCAATTTGCCTTTGGCGACCAGCCGCAATTACCTTGGTATGGGTGCGGTGATACCAATGCAGCCACATCAACTACGCAGTCGGGAATTACCAACGCAGCAGTCATACGTCTTTAAAACTCCCGCATATCGGCAAAGCTCACATATACGCGTCCCCAACTATTCTCAGCGTGAATTGTTCAACGTAATTATCATGGAAGCTATCTGCGTCAATCAAAGGTGCCTGGACAGTCCGATCTGCCTATACGACGTACCATTCCAAACAGAGTAGGAGATGAAGAAGGGCGCAAAATAGTCAGGGGCAGACATCACCGTCAAGTACGTTGAAAGCCCAGTCGTGCCGCGAATTCCTCGTGCAGAGCCAACCTAATTGCAAGTTCTAGAATACAGCTCCAGTATCAAACACCGTTTGCATTGTCCATGAATAGGTGCGAAGGTATTATCTCTCTCCGCTGCCGATACAGAAGGTGGCAGGCTCAATGATACAACGGCAAATCAGCATCTCGGCATGTCTAAGCCCGAACCATGGAAGAAGCCGCCAGCAGAATGAGAACCTTGGGCCTTGTGTGCTGGTCCCGGGACGTCACCGCCGGGCAAGGATCCATCTCATTTACAATTCCGTTTCCTTACTGCCGGCCTGGGACGAAAATTGGGTAATGAAAATAGAAGAGGATATCTGTGTCGAGTACATGCGTTCCCCGCATGGACATTTAGGGCCCAAGATGGTTAGTTGCATGCGTTTTCACCGGACTATGTAGTATGTACATAGTAGTTGATGATGGGGAATTTGGACGACACCCCACTCAATCTATAATCTATTATCGCCAGGGTATTTGCTCACCTTCCGCATCGAGCAGCCCATGGCGGTGGTATCGGAGACCATTGCTGCAGCACAAATCGGACTAAATATGTAGACATGGTTAGGTAACAGGCTGGGGCCTGAACTATCCTCTTTGTCAGCTTTGTCGCTCGCGGTATTGCAAAGATAACAATGGTCTGAGCATTCGGCTGTACGCGACGTCGACTGTATGCGGCTTCCTTGCCGTCCTTGGCTGCAATGTATATATCTGCTCTCGCCGGCGCTGCCGTGGAGGGGGGAGTGCTATTTCAACCTTTTCGTACTGTTGTTTTATTCAGTCTTTGTCGCAACTGCCGGGATCCGCTTCAACCCAGGTTGTAATGGTGAAGCTCGAAATCGTCATGTCGCTTCTTGCGGCCGCTGCGACAGCTCTGGCCGCATCAGCTCGAGTCCCCGGAGGATATATCGTGGAACTTCAAGACGGCCATGTAAGTAGCTCTCCTACCATGTTCTTGATTTATCGCAGAAAAAGATATTGTGGTCTGACCTGGGCTCAGGACGCCTCAGCTGTGCTCGGAGCTCTGAACGACGAAGCCACCACTCGCATGAAGCTTGACTACAAGCTTTTCAAGGGCGTATCTATCCAGCTGCACGATGTTAAAAATGCCGAGAAAAAGGCAGAAAAGATTGCTCAAATGCCAGCGGTCAAGAACGTCTGGCCAATTGACCTCTTTGGCGTGCCCGAGTCCAATGTTCGCGTGGTCGGAACACCAGAAGCCGGCAAGATCTCCAGCCGAGATGGTATAAAGGCCGACACCTTCTCGCCTCACGTCATGACTCAGGTGGACAAACTTAGAGCCAGGGGAGTCACGGGAAAAGGCGTAAAAGTAGCCATTATCGATACTGGCATCGACTACACGCATCCTGCCCTGGGCAACAATTGCTTCGGCAAGGGCTGTCTCGTGTCATTTGGCACCGATCTTGTTGGCGACGCCTACACTGGATCCAACACCCCGGTGCCGGACAACGACCCCATGGACTGCAACGGACACGGATCACACGTTGCCGGTATTGTCGCTGCTCAGCCAAATCCCCATGGGTTTACTGGCGCGGCCCCTAATGTCACCCTTGGCGCCTATCGTGTATTTGGATGTGACGGCCTGGCTGGCAATGACATTCTTATTTCCGCCTTTAATAAAGCTTTTGAAGATGGCGCTCAGATTATTAGCGCATCTATCGTCGGGGCCCTCGGCTGGACTGAAGAGCCCTGGGCCGTCGCCGTTTCTCGGATTGTTGAACAAGGCGTCCCCTGCGCCATCTCGGCCGGCAACGATGGCGATCATGGACTCTTCTACATCAGTACTGCTGCCAACGGCAAGGGAGTTACCGCCGTCGCGTCGTACGACAACATTCTCACGCCCTCTGTGCACTTCCATGCCGGCTACAGCGTCGATGGCGGCAAAGCAACAGACTTCCTCTATGTTCCCGGAACGCCGGCCCTCCAAGGTGTTTCCATGCCGCTCTATGCCACCAGTCTTGATAGCACTATTGCCAATGACGCTTGCACTGCTCTGCCGGATAACACGCCTGATCTGGGCAAGTACATCGTTCTTGTCCGTCGTGGCACCTGTCTCTTTGCAGACAAGGCTGTCAACCTAGCCGCCAAAGGAGCCAAGTACATAATTGTTTATAACAACGTTGCCGGCGACTTTGCCCCCACGCTTGATGACTCTGCGTCTCTCATGAACGGCTCTGGCATGGTCACCCCTGAAATTGGTGCTTCGTGGGTGAAGAGCCTCAAGGCCGGGTCCAAAGTCAACGTCGACTTTGTCAGCTTTTCCAAGTCCCAGTCTGTTACAAGCGAGGTTGGCAACAATGTCACCGGCGGCGCAATCAGCCTCTTTTCCTCTTGGGGCCCGACTTGGGAAATGGATTTTAAACCGCAAATCGGCGCCCCTGGAGGCAACATCCTGTCGACATACCCTGTTGCCAAGGGCAGCTATGCCGTCATGTCTGGTACCTCCATGTCCTGCCCTATCACGGCTGCCATTATTGCCCTAGTTTCAGAAGTCAGAGGCACGCGCGATCCTCGGCTCATAAATGACCTTCTCTCTGCTACCGCCAATCCGCAGCTATTCAATGACGGCAAGCAGTTCTACAGCAGACTTGCCCCGGCTGCCCAACAAGGCGGCGGCATGGTCCAAGCCTACGACGCCGCGTACACGACATCCCTCCTATCGCCCTCTAGCCTTTCTTTCAATGACACCGACCATCGGGTTCGCGAGCTTAACCTCACCATCACTAATACCGGCAAGAACCCGGCAACGTATCGACTCGGCCAAGTCTCATCCCTGACCATGTACACTCTACAAAAAGGCTCAGTATACCCAATGGCCTTCCCAAACGAGGCAGCGGGCTCCTACGCCAGTCTTGCATTCTCGCAGGACAGCGTGACCGTCGCCCCCGGCGAGCAAGCAGTAGTGCACGTCGTGGCCACACCACCCGGCGGCCTTGACGGCGCCCGTCTCGCCCTCTGGTCCGGCTACATCACCGTCAACGGGACCGACGGCTCGTCCCTGTCGATGCCGTACCAGGGCCTCACCGACTCCCTGCGCAACTCGACAGTGCTTGCCTCCGACCAGTCCTGGATCTTCCACTCCAACGACTCCAAGAAGTACGTCAAGGCGCCCGACAACACCACGTTCCTGCTTCCCGCCGCGGGGAGTGCCGGCGCAGACGACGTCCTTCCAGCAGTCTACGTCGGCCTCGCGCTCGGGTCGTCCCAGGTGAAAATCGACGTGGTGCCCATGACCACGTGTCCGCCCAAGAACCTCACCACCGAAACCATGGGCATCAAGACCATCGGCCAGCCCTCCGGGTTCCCTAGCTTTTGGAACCCAAGGGGCGTCAGCTGGTGGTCCTGGGACGGCAAGCTCGACTCAGGCAGGTACGCGCCTGCAGGGAAGTATCAGTTCGTAACCAGGGCGCTCAGGATCTACGGCGACGAGAGCAAGACGCAGGACTGGGATGTGGCCAGGACGCAGTCGTTTTATATCAAGTATCGCAACTAACGGGCCGCGGCACTTGGAATACGATCTAGGTAGATGTCACGAATAGAGTAGTAGACAAGACAAACAACCCCCAGCGCTCGTGTACTGTTGCAAATTGATCGATTTCTCTTTTCCCCCTTGGAGAAGACGTGTTGGGCGCATGGCCCGGGCCCGTCCGCACGTCTAGATGCCATGTTGGACACCGGCGTCACTTGACAGATATAAAAGAGCGATGGCCGCTCAGCGCACCTTCAAGAATCAAGACATGCGGGGTAGATGTAGAATTGTCCAAAGTGAAGGACCTCAACGGGAGCAACGTAGGAGGATCAAACTTAGATTTCATCAAGTTGAGTCTCGGATCATGGACATGCGTACATTCGTTTCAGCCTTGTAGCGAGCGCATGTAGACGTTATTAAGTCGATGAGTCCATTACCAGTCCCAACAGGGTAGGGAGATTATATCTTACGGACGTCGCACGAGTTACACACTTGGCCAGGATTGGGAATTGCCGGATCAACAACAAACCACCTCATTCCTCGCCGTTTCCTTCTCAGTTTGCTGCTTCGCCTACTACATTCCGACTTATCCGACAACATGGCGGCCTTGGGGCCGTTGGACATGACACTCAGACTACTGATTCTATTTCAGTACCCTGATGGGAAGCCACCCGGACGATACCACGGGCTCAGGGAATCAATCTATTCACAAGTGAACTTGGCATACATGTCAATAACCTGCTGGAGGAGTAGAGGGTGCCGGGGCTGTCGGGTGCAGCTGTCGACGGCGGCGAGGAGTACGCCTAGGCGAGTGACGATGAAATGCCATGGCAATAACATTCACAATTACCAGTTCACGCTTACATGACGCCAGGGTTATTGATTTGCCGTCCTCCCAGATACCCCAGCAAGTCCGAAGACATTATAGCACGGAGGCTCGACACCAAGGCCTTTGTCGACGCGGCTCTGGCTCAGCGGATTCTGAACGGGTCACATTCTGTCCCCAACGGCGGCTGGAGCACGCCCATCGCCTCCATTATCCGCGACGACTTCGTCCTGCAGGACGAGTAGGCGACCAACCACTTGACGCTGGAAGACGCCGCAAGTCATCGCACGAGTATGCCTCGCAACGACATGGCGTAGGCTCGTCACAGGGATGAAAAGAGTGCCGAATCGGGACCTTGTTCGAAACCTTTTCAATCTGCCCTTGACGGCTCCCCGCGGGTCATTCTCCAGTAGTACTGCAATTTCATATATATCACGCTATCGCATGTCGTGTGTTCGCACATCGGAGCGACAGGCGCCTTTGGCACATTCGTCTTTTAGTTCCGAGATCTCCGGTATGGCATTGCCATATTTGGAAATACCGCCGGCACTTTGAACTCGGTCGAGACGCACCTCTCGCCGAGGGTGATCGAAGACAGGCTCGAGGTTCCCAAGGACCGCCGCATCGACGTATCAGGCCAGTAAGTCATGATGTATTCCAAATGGCCTGCTAATTTACCGAGCCACCAGACTGAAAAAAGGAGCGCCAGAACCTCCGGGACAAAATCGTCAACGCTTTCGACGTGCTATACACTGAGAGACGGTCGCCCAGAATCCCGCCAACCCAAAACAGCACCCATCTCGCCGGCACAAACTTGGACCTGGGCTACGGAACCATACAGCTCAAGGAGACAACAGGCCCTGAGGACGCGGTGTCCACGGTCCTCGTCGGCAGCAACCGCAGCGGCATCATCATCGACTCCGACGTGCTCCTGCGGCACGTCTCGGTAGGCTACTGGGTCCTCTATCTCAGCTCCGCAGAGGTGCCTCGGGAAATTGGCGCCGCCCTCGCCGCCGAGTTCAAGTTTGGCAGCGACGGAAACGCCTCAGCCCTCAAGATCATCTGGGACCAGGCCAAGCCGGGTCTGCGCGAGGTCAAGGTCCTCTTCAACAAGGTAGAATAGCGCATGGCCAGGAACCAAGTATCCCACTACATGGCGCGATCGACGTGTAGACGCCAGAAACACCCGTCAAGCACCAATCATAAACCGCTGCCCCATCTCACGGCGCACATCGCCATTTCAATGTATGTCATCCGCGGCCGCCTCACAAGTCCGCTTCGACAAGACAATGACAGTTCAATAAAAACAAAAACAGCCCAATTCACCGGTTCGACCGCCCCTGATTGGCGGCGGTTCTAAAATCCCCCATTGGCCCATGTCCCTCGCACCATCTGGCCGAGAAGAAGAGCAGAACAAGACATGAAGGCCTCAAGCTTCACCCACACTAGACGATCAGCAGACCACACGGCGGTGGATCCCGCTGCGACGCTCGCCAGAACCCGACCATCCACCACGGGACGCGTCGTGGTGCCCGGGCAGGCGCCGGGCCTGGCATGTGTGGGATGGGGGAAAACCTGGATGCTGGGGTAATTTGCTTGCCACGACGACTGCCGACTGGCCATGTATAAGAGTTTTGTGATATAGGTGTCGGGTGATTTCCCTTGGTGGCAAAACATGTGCATTGCGCTACTCGGTACTACGCAGCGAGGTTGAGGAGGCTCAGGCTCGGTTTGGCCCAGTAGCCGTCTGTACTACTACCAGTTGACCATTTTCACCATGTTCCCAGGGCGGATAGCACGGCCTTGAGTGGCGGCGTGGGTGATTTGAAATAGAATACTGGTGCTTGTGACTTGGCTGCCCGGTCGCCCGCCTTCAATTCTGCAAGTTTGGATGCGGACATGGCGTGTATTCAAAGCCAACGCCAGTCACGGCGTCGCAAGGCAGTGCTTCTCTGTGAACGAGCGAGCACCGTGTTTCGCCTTGGCAGGCAGGGCATTTGCGTTGAAGGAACAGCCATTTCCAAACATGAGGGTATACTGCTTTCTTCGCCCGCAAGTGACGCAGTGCGTGACGCTACATCCCGATTGCCGAGCGCACACGTCGATCCGCAGCGCTTTCTCCACAAATGAAACAGGCCGCTACGAACTGCTCCGTTGCTACCTGGGTGTTCAACCAACATGTTGGAATGCGGCATCCAGTCACCGGCGGTCCTGAAGCGTGGCTGGAGTATTAGACTCGGTCGTTGCGCCACTGACGGGCGAGGACCGCCTCGGCCGCACTGAACCAACCGCTGGAGCATCTCCTCCGGGTACCTGGGAGGGAGCTTGTGCGAACGACGCCAGCCAGATGAATCCAGGAATGGAAGAGAGGGCAGTTGAAGCAGACGTAGACTGCTGTGTGGTTGTGATGGAAAATTCGTCTAAGCCGAGTCTGGGCCTGCATTTGCCGGGCAGCAGTCCCGCGTGGCAGTGGAGCCAAAGATTGATTCGTCTGTGCGGGAAAGGTGGCACAAATGATGAATAATTTCAAATAAAGACGGTTGAAGGACGGCCTGTTGACGGCAAAGACAGGTCGTTTTTTTTTTTCATTTATCCTGGTCAATCAAGCCGCGTCAGGCGCTTTCCTGTCATGCAGTCAGCTTTAAAAGACGCCATCGCCCATCGCCATCTCATTCTGTAATGTACATAAGCTGATACTGACTGGCGTATTCCGTACGTACCCCAGATACATTCGTCTCCGTAAAGTCGTAAAGCCGGATGGTTTACACTAGGCGGGCACATGGTTCAAACCCATGCCGCGCTCCAAGTCTAAAAGATGCATTGGTTTGCGCTGGCTTGTGACTACGGGGCCACCCCGGACAGTTCGACCGGGATCCTTCAAGGTGTGCGAATGTGACGAATCACAAATGCACCACTTCCAGTTGCCTAACATGCCGCACTAATACCAAGCCTGGCAGGGCCAAGGGCAAGCAGACCAAGGTGAGCAAGGGGACTGGGCACCAGAGTTGTTTGCACTTGTTGCCACGACACGTCGTACATACATACAATGCAGCGTCTTCAAACGGCACAAGCAGAAATATCGGGAAACGTACCGATGACGTACCTGGGAAGACGATACAGACACAGTGCGTCAGATACATTCCGTTTCTTCAGTCCCTCCTCCAAAACGGAGAGCCAACATGAATCCACAGACGAAACACAGGACACTGCGCCTCACCGTGTCTGTGCAGGATTCTTGCCATATGAGCTTCTTTCTTCAACCTTGTAAAAACATGTGAGGCTGCTCCTTGGCCTAACCGACCCGTCGTCAGTAGATCAAAACCTGATGATAATCTGAAATTGTCAACATCCTTCCATTCTTGAAACTTTGATTTTTTTTTTGTCCACCTACAATAGAGGAAGTGAGCCGCACCATCTAAGGGTTGTCCGCGCCGGGGGGGTAGCAAGGGAAGACGGTGACCATTACAACACATCGACCTCTTGGTAAAACGCACGATGTGACGCCCACTCAACATATCCAAGGGCAATAGCGAAGCCGCAAACCGTTCGTGCGGACCACAGTAGCTACGTACCGCCAGAGAAAGGCCCTGGGGCCTGAGACCCTGTGGCCCTGGGCGGAGCGGGACGAGCGGCTCAAGCCTTGGTTCCCTTTTCCCGTCGTTAGTCAACCACGCATGAATGATGAGTTTATGAATGGAGCCAGGAGCAACTTCAGACTCCTCCTCCGCATTCATCCATTACCCACAAGCGCGCCAGCCGTCACGATGCTCGAGGGGACAACCTGTAACATGCCCATCGTGGACCTGCGTGGGGGACTTGGAGGCTAGACCAGACTTCGGCTCTTCATGGATGCTTCGAAATGCTCGAAAACGCAACCCTGACAGGCTGTTCCACTCGCATCTGGGCTGACCACCTCTCCTGTACGCTACACCTGAAAACGCCTCCTCCATCCGTCCTCCAGCAGCACCAAGGCTTCTTGTACGTGGACAATGACGGAGTGGCCAAGGTGCTACGAGGCATTTAAAAGCCATCCATCTCATACCGAGTACATGCCGGCGTTGGAGCATCCAACACGGCGCACACGCCAACCAATTCATTATGCAGACCAGCGCAGAACTTACTTGAATGAAATATTTCCCGACCCAAGCCAGGCGCACCGAGCAGGCATGGTGTAGTGGCCCATCGTTCGACAGTAGAACTAAGGCAGTCGCCCGAACAACCTTATTGCTGTGTCGTAGCATGTTGGTCTGTATTGTACTCCGTAGTTTAATGCAACGTCCGGCGCAGCAATAAGAGCGGGAGACCCGCTGCCGGGCCAGTAATATTACTACCACGAAAGCCGATCTACTCGGTAAATTGTCTCGGATCGCGGGGGCCCTGGGAATTGACGGTTCATTTATCTGCAATGGTACAGGCAAGCATTGGAAACCGCTTCTGATGTATCATTTTGACCGCTGCACGTTTGATATTCTATCACATGCAGCAAGAGGTTGTTGAGCCACTGATTGTCGGCAGAACGGCCATGGAGATGACGTGGCGAGCGCAAAAGTCGACCTTTATCTTGTTTTTGCTATTTCCGGCGCGACCATGAACGATAGGGGTCTTCCTTGAACCCCGAGGCTCTGGCATGACGTGGGCGCATTACCTGTGTTATGGTAGTCGCATTCGACCATGGCAAGAAGAAAAAAAATGCATGTCGGCCTGACAAAGGCGACGACCTCCGACAAGAGCGGATTGGTACAGTGAACATGGGGCACCGCAAAACAGTGCAAGTGTCCAGAAGAATACCAATATACTGCAATTGCAATGGAGGTGTCTGGAAGCAGTAGAGCCGAATGCGCGCCGTCCCTCACCTCCATGGTTAGAATGGGGAACCGTTCCCGAACCCAAGCCTAGTTGGGCCATTATGATAAGCTAGCATGCCGGTCTATGCCGAGAGAAGATGGGATCCAAGGAACCTGGATCCAAGAACCTTGGCATTAGAGATCGTGAGCCTGGCATCTGGCGGGCGGGCTGGGCGAGGCGGTGGCGCCCATGCCACCCAAGAGTTGGGGTGCGCACCGCTACCTTGGTAGTTGGCTCCCCAAGCTTTGCAAGTAGTAACTCCGTCCTTTGCAAGTTGCAAGAGGGCCCGAGCCAATGGAAAAGCCGTTAGGCTCTACAACGGCACTCCCTTAGTCAAGTGGCTAAGCCATAACTATTGTAAATCTCGCTTTGCCACTTGCACTTGTAGCAAACGCCCGAAGACTACCATCTCAATACCCGGCGTCCCACCCTCAGTGAGATCAAGGCAAAGGCGATGTCTTCTTGCATATAATCTCTTCGGAAATAAATTGAAAAGACGTGACGATACGGCGTTGTTCCTGCAGGCAGATGCAATATTAACCCTGTCCCGTCCAGAAGAAAGTCTCGGCCTAGGCAGTCCACAGTCGGTCTGCATCTATCGTCTCCCGCTATGTGTCGATTGAAGTGTGTGGTCTGCACTCGGTATGGGATCCAACAATCCGGCGACGCGGGACAAAAGTGATGCTGGGAATGCTGACAGAAATATCAATGAACGGTGTGCGCTATTGCCAATTGTGGCAGACGATGCGTCTGGAAAAGGCAGCAATCTCTCCAACTCAGCTCGCACTGTGGCAACCACCTCACTTTTCGAATAAGAAGGGGCATTGGCCGTACCGTATGGAGCACCGGGACTAATATTTTGCTGGGAGAAACGGTGGAAGCTGGAGAGTATAGATCCAATGCGGGAGTTGTGCATGTGCATGGGAGCTTCTCCATCTTCTTCATGCTGGCAGTCCCCAGCCAGGTGCTTTGTAAGGAGTGCTTGCGACCCGATATCCAACCAGTCCCAAGTCGAATGGGGACAGAGATGCACCTGATTCACCCCTTCGTCCTGTTCCTCATGACGAGCCCGGTGCAACTCTGAGCTACAAGTGCGAAGCGAAATAGCAAGGCGGAATGCAATCGAGATTGAATGAAGAGCCAGAGTTCCATGATGTGCCACGGGTCTGGCCGGACGGCACTCCGTATTGAAGCCGAGAACTTTCTGTGCCACTGCTGGTGCTGGTGCTGGTGCTGGTGCTGGTGCCTGTGCTTGTGCTTGTACGTCTGCTTAGAGCG